GACCACATGATGTGCGCATATTCAACTATATCTCTCTTCTTTGTAATAGTCGGGGCCGACTTGATCCAATCCGCCATCGCCGTATGGGGTGCTTGATACGCTCCGGAAATTCATCCGATGGCTTTTCCTCCATGATCAAGGGTGGGTGATGAGTAGGGCTCCGACCCTACCATCTGATCTGATCGTGGTTAGCTTCATGATAATGGTGATAGGGGAATGTGTTGAGAGATGAAGACGATGCCGAGGGCGAAAGCGATTGGGGACTGTTGTGGTTATGAGCTGTGAGGTGTCTGGTGTATGGCAATTGTGACTCTATTGTCCATCGGTGGAGTGGCACGGGCTCATGTGCACTGGTGAGACGCGGACATGGTGCGCTCACGCTGGTTGATGGCACGATGTACACTTATTGCGTATCACTGTGGCCAAATGGGTGTCAGTAGATGTCAAATATGAACTCTTACTGACAATAGTGATCTATGAAGGTGATGCTAGATGTGCATCCCGACGATTGATAATATCATCTAATGGGTGGTGTGAAGTATGATATTATTTTGTGTAGATTGGTTCACTAAATCCGGCAGGTGAAGAGATTATAAAGTACATGAACAGCGTCTGTGCACCAGCCTGTATTTTTCGTGCTTTCCTAATACAGCAGCCCATCCTCCGTTCCCCTGTCTCCTAAAAACTCAACCGAGCCAGCACAACAGGGACCACCATCGAAGTGATGATTTTTTTACTCAATTTCGGCTCTGCAGACTCTACAGTGAGAGCTGGAGGTTCATAGGGGACACCACTGACAGGTGTGGAGAATAGTCCCCCATCATCACCAACGTATAGCAATGGAAGTAGGTCTTTCGAATACTCCCTTCGTTGGACTCACATATATGATCGGTGGAACCTATGGAGAGGGGAGACAAGGAATTGACGAAAGGTATCATGTCCGTTTGAGTAAATGGAATAAAATTGAAAAGACCAGATGGCTAAGTACAATGTAATGGAAAGAAACATCAATTGGGTAGACTTCGATCGTAAAACTTGGATGGTGAGTCGCCACGGCTCTGGCATCCGATCCCTACCATCTCAACTACTGAGTACCCCAAATAGGTTGAGAGTTTCAACAAGACCTTGCCGCACCTCTGACCTGAAAAATTGACAGTATGCATTTAGATTTCTCTTTTGTTAGAAGAGGAGATGCTGGGAAGTTCTAATTACACGCTTGCAGCTCCAAAGGCGCGGGCCGAGGCTACAGACAGAAAGGACAGTGAGAGACGCGGCAGGAGACGGTCGTTTGCGCTCAGGCCGACACCACTTGTTCCAGCAAGAATGTTACAAACATCTATCGAAACAACAGAATACAACCAAATACACGTTTCCAGTCAGCCGACGTTCTAGACTGTATCCTCAGCGCATCTACGTTGGAGATATGCGGAGGATAACAAGTAAGCCTCCGTTCTCCCCGGCTTCACATATGCTACAATGCGACAATACGAGCAAGAAATCTGCACGTGTCGTAGACGGCGATCACAGTCATTAATCACAGACCCCTGTCTGTCAACCTGAAATCTTCCTACACCTCTACATTTAGAGAGGTTTCAACATAGATACCCTTACTACTCGTTCGTATGGGGAAAGACAAGTCAACTACCCTGTAGGTTTCCTGCCCACTCGTTCGAGGGAGACTGGCCTCTGCCGGTCTACGACGAAGTCTGGGGTCTCTCGATTTACTTCTCGGCACCTCCCGTGGTGCTAAGCGATTCGCCTCTATACTAAAGAAGGCTTAGTTTCTTTCTGAAATCTAGCCTGTGTGCGACGTGTGATCTAGCCAAGTCAGGAATACGCTGTATAGTGCTCATAATATCTTAGGGAAAAGATCCTCTAGGGCTGCTCGCCATCCAATTAAAAACAAAATAATTTTCTTCTGTAGCAGTCACTATCACTCTCAGGATGGGGCAATAGCCTTCTCTTACCCATGGTTGGTGCTGAAAATAAATAAAAACTCTTCTGCATTGGCTCCAATAGTGATGTGCTAAAGAAAGGTTTATGAAGTCGATCTTCGTACACCATTGAATCATTAATTTATCTGATGGCTCAGTTGTAAACTACGCATGCTAGTCTCTCTAGAAGCGTTCTCACAGTAATGACTCAAATCACGTGTGGGACACCCAATAGCCATTAAGAAGTCAGTAAGAAGTCGGTAAGGCAACATTAAATTACATGTGAGATTTTTATCTTTGGACCACTAAAATGTTCGAAACTTTCGTTTCGTGGCAGGTACGTATGAGGGCTGACTGTCTGGCGTGAGCAAACATACTTGATACTGCGACTCACAGATGAAAATCAGCGTATGAGATTCTGTGAAGCCAAAAGCTTCATCGAAAATATGCAAAAATTACCGGTATTGTATTATGGCTATGAAATTGAAAACGTATTAACTGCCAAAAGAAAGATCACGTTGACTCTAAGCGGCGCATGGCGTTGTGATTGTTTGTCTTGAAGTGAAGCCGTGCTGATACGGTCCCAGTCGGACCATTGGATGAGGGGCCCATATTGCATTCCGTAACACAAGAATTTGAACTAATCTACGACAAGATATCAGCTATTAAGAGATTCCCTCCGGCGTTTTTGACATAACCGTGAGGGGGAATAGAGGGGTGACATTGCAGTTCTCCGCAAATAGGCTTACGAAAATCGACGTCATCTGATACAATATCCTCAGGCCATTCATATGGCAGGGATTCCGCGATCGAAAGAACAATGCTGGATTCATAGGCGCGACGGGTCACACAGTAACTGGAGCTCTGGTGCGGCCAAGACTAAGTTGAACAGAAATCAAACAACAGAAAAACGCCATCATGTGCCACCCACCGAAACTAATGAGACCAGGCCACACCTGATCTCGTGCGAGAGTGAGAGCAACAACGGTTAGGAAGTAGCCAATAGTATTACACGCGGGCGATACATCCAGTTCTGAAATATCGTGCGACTGACAACATTAAACACGTCTAAAAAATGGTGAGAGGAGACGCCGCTGGACTTACGGGAATCGGAGAGCTATCGGGCGAGCGAGAGATCCAAAATTCAGATGAAGAAGCCTCCGATAGCTCGCTGGAAGACCTGGGCGCACTGCTAGCAAGTCGAGTCTCTGAGATTCGCGCGCGCAAAGTTCCGGCCACTGGGCTAGTCACCCCACTGCACTCGTCGGGCGTGATGCCACGGCGACGCCAACGACCAGCAAGGTACCGCTCACCCACCCAGCAAACCCCGACTTACAAGTACGACTTGCACTCGCTAGCCAAAGCAGCGCGTCGAGAAGATGCGACCGAAGCTAGCGCGCAACGGATCCAAGAGCTATGGGCGCTTGAGAAAGACACTCCCGAAGACGGGTCAATGGCGGAAGCCATGGGCTTCAGCTCCACGGCCATCGGGGAGCCAGCCGCCTGGCAAAGTGTCATCTCAAAGCAAGAGACCAGCAGACACCTCGGCCGGCGTCTTCAGCAGGCCGTGGAACCTACAGAATTTGAGACACCGCCTCAACGCTGGTATTTCTTCGCCCCCCAGAAGCCAGATCAAGAGGCACCACAGGCTACGCCATTCCCTTTAAGCTCCCTACCAGCGAAATGGCGAGTGCATCTCGAAGAACCCGGGGCCCGAGACGAAGCTTTCCTCTCGGGCTATGTCGAGGACATGGTAGCCATGGGCGAGACGTTGCCGAATCAACTGCTCCTCTGGATACTCAATGAGTCATGCAGGCAGAAGAGTGATTTCCTTCGTAGTGCGTACCTTAACGTACTTCGGCAATCACCTTGTCAGCTCCAGCTATTGATAGATACAGAACTGATTCGACAAATATTTGTCAACCTTGGAGCAACGGAGCAGACTACTGACATCACCCACAACATTGAATCCGTAAAGAAAATTCCCGACTATTATTCCCGTAGCGCGTGGCCTGCCCTACGCGCCATACTCCATTTTTTCGCAGATATTGCCCATTTACTTCAGCAAGAAATCCTAGCCTATATCGCTTGTCTGCTTCTACGCATGAGCATAGACTCTATTGTCATAGAAACTGTAGATTTATATGTTTCATTCCAGCAGATAGTATGCAAGCTTTGCTGTTGCACTTCATGCGACTACTGGGACGCCTTTGTGAGTCGTCTACGCTCTTATTCTGCCGCTGGCTGATCTCTCCAGTGTATTATGATCTGCACAAGCCTTCTCAGTACACTTGAGTTGCCCAGTCTTCGCTTGCAAGTGGTCGAGTCTATTCCTTCCATGGTCCCAAGATCTCACGATCTTCGACGAAGGCTCGCCCTCTGCTTCCTCTTTAATGATTGCATATATGCCAAATCGCATCCTTATCAACTAACCAATCTTAGCATCTTTATAGAGCGTCTGGAGGAGTATGACTTCCAAAGCCGCTGCTACCAAGATTACCGTCAGCTCAAAGCTTTAGTGATGCTCTTGGATATTGCGGCCGACGACGGGCAATCGATTCAGCGTCGCATAGCTGACCCGGCCGTCGAAACTAGCTTTAATGATGATGTTGAGCAATTCAGCGCCTCAGTACGTCGCCTTCTCGGTGGAATTGGTGCACCACAAACTGGCTACATCTCGAAGATCGAAGCCAAAGAAATGATAGAAATGGTTTCCCAGAGAATTATTCACACCATGAGGACAAAGCCCAAACCTGTGCATGAATGGTTCGTAGATTCCGGGAAGAGTCCTGATGGCTTGCCGGTAGAGAGACAACGAATGGCAGATTTCGTCGCAAAGATGAAGGGGGTGGGAACTGAAGATAGAGGCCTGTAAACTAATTACTACGGTATGTGGCATAAGCTCACTAAAAGGTCTTAGCATGGCAAAAAGTGAATTAAGAATAGATTTATGCACATTTGTTCTTGCTGATTCAGAAGTCTAATAATTAACGCAAAAGTGAATTCCCATTAAGCACGAATGGTTGAGATTCAGCCAATCTCCGTCCGGCCCACACTTGTTTGCTCTCAATCATAAAATTTTCTATTTTCGTTCTTGCCGAATAGGGTTTGGCGAATTGATGGTAATGCACTGTCTCGAAGGAGACGAAGCCGCTCTTCAAAGGTGTTGTTGATCTCAATCTTCCCGCCACTGCCAGTAATTGAAATACCGCCAGCCCTAGATTCGTCTTAGCAAGCACTTTGATGGTGGCAGAAGGGACTTACCCTTCCTCAGGTAGAGGCTTCGCAGTATCGATGCTCACGTCAACATATTTGCCAAGCTTTTCCTTGTACTCCGCCGCGGCCGCCTCGGCAGCACTCCTCACCAGGTCGTAGTCAGTCTCTCGAGCTCTCACCTTTACCTTATTCTCATTGAGCGCATACATGCCTTGTAACATGAGATTCTTCAACACACCCTTGTACCTGGACTGATCTTCGGCTATTTCGCCGAGCCTTCTGGCAGTGGTTTCAAAGATACCGTCAAGCAGCTCCTGTCTCGCAGATAACACCTTCAACCGCGCTTTATTGGCAACGGTGGAGCGAGTGATCCGCTGAGACATCTGAGCTGTCTTGAATTTCTTTTCGTAATTCGTGTCAATGGCTTGGATTTCTTGACGCACTAGTTTGGATTTCTCAATGGCGAATTCTTCATCGGCCTTGATCTCGATCTCGCGACCTTTTTCGAGGGCTTCCTGCTTGATGAAGGCAGTCATCTTCTTGAGCTCCTGTCCAACCTATGACACGCGCGTCAGCCATGAACTCTTAGGTCTAGAGAGCGGCGGAGAGACCTGGTCATCCGTCAGTGCGTGGGATTGCGACATATTGAACTTATCTCTCGATGCGGAGTGTGAGCTGAGAGAAGCCAATGTTAATCTGAAAATGCTCTGGCAAAATGATGTCGCTGGTCTGTCAATGGTATGTCCGCTGAGCACGTCTAGTCCTGAGCAGCGGGTCCGTCTGATCTAGCGAGATCAGGTGATGCATATCCGTGACTACACGTCCACCGTCCAACCCTAGCCGTCACGGCTTACGATGGTGCCGGAATTTAAGACGGTGCATGCTCATAGAAACATAGTTGAAACCTGAAAATTTACCCCGAGCGATTCAGTCGCGAGCTGTCGCTGACCCGAACAAGCGAGACGACGACCTATGCGACACCAGATCCTTCTGCTATGTAGAGTATCCTGACCCCCTTCCATCTCCCTCAAATCAAGTACTTCAATCTGTGCAAGAACATCCAACCACTCCAATGATTCTAAGCTTTATTTCTACAACGTGATGGGAAACCTCGGTGATCTCTCGCCAGGAGGAAGTATAGCGGCAAGTTTCGCTCCCTTGGTGCCGTGTCGAGGCTAACCTTCGTCGCTGCGCCGCAGATTGGTATTCTAGTTGGCCTTCTCTCAACCAGCGTACAAAGTCTTGGTCTCACCCTACAGCGAAAGTCACACCTACTCGAAGATGATAAGGCGCCGTGCGATCCGCAACGCCCACCCCACCGTCGTCGACGATGGCAACTCGGCATGGCCATGTTTGTTATCTCCAACCTCGTCGGTAGCACCATTCAGATTACCACCTTACCCTTGCCCGTTCTCTCCACACTTCAAGCGTCGGGCTTAGTATTCAACTCGATCTGTGCAACTTTAATATTGGGAGAACCCTTTACGAGATGGTCGTTTGGAGGGACCTTGCTCATATCCAGCGGCGCTGGCCTAATTGCGACCTTTGGAGCCATCTCTGAGCCGGCTCATAGTCTTGATCAGCTCCTTAGTCTTCTTAGCCGACGAGCGTTTGTCACATGGATGTTATTACAGACTACCATGGTGATAGCTATCATAGCATTTGCCGAATTCCTCTCGCGCCTAGCCAAAGCCTCCTCTAGCCCCCTACTACATTTATGTCAGGGCCTGGCATACGGTGTAATCAGCGGTATCCTCTCCGCCCACTCACTTCTCGTGGCAAAGTCAGCCGTCGAGCTCCTGGTACACACTATATCCGATCGCAGTAATCAGTTTAATCGCTGGCAGTCCTGGATCATCATACTCGGCCTCATATTTCTTGCCCTAACTCAACTCTACTACTTACATCGAGGTTTAAAACTTGTATCGACAAGTATTCTATACCCGATAGTCTTTTGTATCTACAACATAATCGCTATCCTCGATGGCCTAATATACTTTAAACAGACAGACCGCCTTAGCCTTGTTCATGCTGGTCTCATAGCACTTGGCACCGTTATCCTTCTCTCTGGCGTCTTGGCCCTATCCTGGCGTCTCTCCGACGATCAAGTTAAGCCGACCGTCGCAAAATCGGCTCTAGCTCCTGGACTGGGCTTTGTAGAAGACTCAGATAGTAATGATTCTCAAGACTCGGCGGAAAATGAGAGCGATCAATGTAATATCGGGGCCGAAGACCAGCCCCTCTTGAGCGCTTCAGCAACGAAGACTTCCCACGGAAACCTAGATTTACTTAAGGGATTCCCTATCCACGGGAAGAGGAATGGGCGACGATCCGAAGTGGAAGAGATATGGAGCGAACTAGAAGATGTAGATATCCTCTCGCCCTCCAACGCCATTCCGCGAAAAATATTTCCCCTCACCGCCGCTACAGATCCCAGCATTCCACGACAGTCGAACAGTGATATTAAACGCAAGTCGTCGTCTGGGTTCCCCGATCACAATCAACCACGGCCATCAAATGTGGATACTAAACGTAGACTCTCTCTCGGCTTTCCTAACATAACCTTTCGGCACTCTTCGAATACCGCGCCCAATAGACGGCAGCAGAGTGCTCTAGGCGGCTTTTGGAAGATGAGATGGCTCGGTTTGAAATCGCCTAGCGATGAAGAGTCTAAGTTAAATGGTGTTGTCACCAAACAGTCTATTACAGGCAATGTTAACAATAACACTTCTGATAATGCTACTTGACTGCGAGAACAGTCCTGAGCTTGGGTATCGGCGAATTTCATAGAAACTGTAAAGACTGAATAAAATAATTCTCAATTCTCCTAGACAATCATATTTGTGAAGTTATCAGACGTGTCTACTCTCACAAAATTTAGCCCGAATTAATCGCTGATATCAGGATGCAGTGGGCAGTGAATAACGCCTCGGGCTAAATCTCTACCGCTGAAGACTTGATACGGGTGCGTGCTCTCGGGTGATCTACAACTTCTACCGTGGCTAGCTCTGTTTGTCAAAATTTTACTCGTCCGATTCTGTAAAGGGAACTTCCTACTGCCCAGACACGACACGGTGCGTCTATCCACTTTTCCCATAATAATTTACATGAAAGTTATGTATACCGAAGGAACTGCCTCCCCGTCAACTCTTGGTCACAGTAAAGTTCTATCACTTTCAACTGGCGAATGGGCCAGAGCAGCATAGCCATGCAGAAAAGAGCCGAACACATTGGCTTCAATTCCTATCTGCACAGAAGAAGAGTTCCAGGAGTAGATCATCCACGATGCCAATGTGGATATCCGTCCCAGAATGTCAAGCATATGATCATGGCCTGCACGAGCTGGGCCAAAGGTAGAGGAGAAATACCGAGAAAGGTAGAGAACCGGTCATTTGAGGCCATGATGAATAACCCCAAAGAAATTGCAAGGATAACTAGATGGATCCAGCAGGAAGGAAGGCTAGAGCAGTTTCGACTGACGCTTGAAGTCGAGGCCACGATGAGTGAGAGAGGAGAGAAGGGGAAAGATGATCTCCTGCCAGTAGCAATGAAGTTGACGGTATCCGCACTGGACATAACAGTGTTAGTGCACTTCGTGAAGGTAACACAACTTTAAAATGTATACAAATTGAAAAGATGAGGGGGTTACTACCATAAATGTTTCCTCCTATATAAATATTAGAGTTCGTAGACATCGCATGGGGATTAAGGCACCAAATCGGGCTAAATGAAATCAAATTGAAACAGGCAAATGGAGTTGTGCATGATGTGAAAACAAAACAAATCCGGGTGAGAGAGTGAATTTAATTCTGAGCTTTTTAATCCCAAATTTAAATCGACAGGGCAGCAACCAACTCGTCGGTGGAAAGAAATAAGACTAATTAGTTTGTGATAATCAGAGCGACCACTCTCCGAATTTAACTAGACAATCAGATCTGTGACTAAGTATTGGTTGTTACAACTCCAATCTATGTCATGTGCCTGATCTATTACATCTAGTCGGCGTCGATGAAGCTTTCAAGACTCATTCTCATATTTACTATTTTTGTCTGTTCAGATTGCCATCTAAAGTTCCTAGTTTTAAAACAGTCTCCCGATCTACCTTAACACCTAAGGTTTGTAGAATAATACACGACTCTTTAATGACAACTCGTCCGAATTTTCAATGGTGCTTACAGCAACAGAATGAAGACACATGGAACTTATTGTACAGAGAACTGCAACCAACCAACCCTAACCCTAGAGTACTAAATTGTAGAGTTGTCATATGCACTAGATTGCTTATCTGGGTTGAGTTTCAGAAAATTATTAAATCGTTTCGTTTACTAGAGACCTGGAATCATCATTCAAACTAATATCTGCTAAAATGTGCATCTCTTGGGAGTTAGAGGGAGTACCGATTCTTTACAAGCTCTGCCCCAAGGAACCCCTATGTATAGAACGAATGGAGATGAAGTGATTATTACCATAGTTCTATGAAAATTTCCAAAGAAATGATTTTTGAAGCCTCAGTTAGCCAGGTTCCGAGTAAACAAAGCTTCCCCATGATAACACCAAACACCATTTCACGGGGTAGAGTTTAGAAATTGGACCCCGGAAGACACATAGAATTACTTGTGTGTCGGGTATCATTTAATCCTAATTCGGTACTCGTCGAAAAAAACAAAAATTGTAGTTTTATGCTTGATGGGAGTGCTGTTGAGGTATCCCAGGTTGCGGCATTGGGTATCCGCTTCTTTGTTGCTGTGACATATAATTCTGGTATGCGAGTGCCTGTTGCTGTTGTTCAAGAGTTGGGGCTAAGTAGCCATGTAAGTTGGTGCCTTGCTGTGTCATAGCGGGACGATTTTGTTGTGGTAGATGTTGTGAAGTAGGTTCTTCAGGGGAATTTACAGCATTCTGATCATCTACACCTGCTTCACCAGATCCGGCAGGCTCGGGAGCATTCAAGCACGCCTCCGAACGTTAGTGTTTACTTAAAACGGTCGACTAGGGGTTCACCTGAATTAAATTTTTTCCTTCAGCCTTGGTGACAAGCGGTTGTAGCTTTGGTGTGGTGAAGGTGTAGACAAGTCCAGTTTCGGAGACTACTAAGAGTAGCACTTGAGTCCCGGTTAAGACGGAAAGTTCATAAGCCTATATCACTTATTAGGAATTTACAAAACTTGATTGTTGTTAACTTATTGAGACATACTTTTTTCATTATTCCAGCTTTGCGCTTGGAAAAGGTTATGTGACGACGTGACTTATCCGTGATGAACTTGATCTCGATTTTTCGGCGCTCGCGACCTGGTTTGTCATCATCATCGTCATCGTCGTCGATAGTTGACGGTCGCTGACGCTTCATACCACGACCATCACTACCCGCAGCTTGGTTTCCATTACTAGGGTTGTGCTCATCGATGGTCGAAGGCGAGCCTTGATCATGTTGGTCGACCAAATCCGCCATGATAGAGGTATTAGTAGGTGTGACGAGGTTAGCCCTCAAAAGCTACGTGCCGGCTAGCTAAATGCTGACGAAGTGGGGTTAACACAGATCTCGTAAGAAAATGGAGGTTAGCTATGGCCAAATCGAGGATGGCGTTGTGGAAAAGGCACGAAGCTCAGACAAAAGGCGACAATGCGATGACGTGTACGTGATAGTGGATTTGGTGAAATTAACCCCGTGTCGTGCAGTGTCGATGTCTAAAGAGAAGCGAGATGCGTGTGATAAACTGGAAATATTATTAACATTGTGGTAGAGAAAGGGGTAATTTGATAAGAGGCGGGAACAACATGACATAAAACAAATCCGCTGAACAGTTAGATAAGAAAAATAGCAAGGGGTGGGTGCCGCCGCAGACGGAAAGCTAAATGTGAGCGGTACCCTGAATGTGGGACGAGCCTCGCCATCGGTTTTTATTTGATCCCAGAAATCGATCAAAGGTCTTAGTAGACGCTGACGAGCATCTCTGGGTTGAGACCATTAATGATGCCGTTATTTTGACACACTTGTGTATATGACGGCAACTCAGTGTAGTGGTTAACTGAAATTAAAGTTATCAGGCAGAGGAAAAATGAATCTGCTGGAAGAAATAATCCCAATGAGAAGGGTGGACATTAGAAACGTTATGCAAATCAAACTTCAATTTAGATGAGCGACAGCTGATGTGAAGGGTAAAATCTTTGTGCGATATGTGAGAGGGTGTCAGAACAGAGGGAACCTTTCTGTTTCTGTCTTAGACTAAGGAAGGACGAGAATGCTGTTTCCGAAACTTTGCCTGCAGCCCCTGGTAAATTAGGGCCACAAATTGTGTCCAATAAACATCGGACGAGAGTTAAAATTTCAGAATAAAAAAGGAGTAGAAAGTCTAGGTAGGCAGTAGGTACAATAACATTAACTCTAGTGATTGGTAATTGGCAGAGTTTATCGTTGTTGCTACACCTACAACAAGCAAGTAAGTGGGTGGTGACGTCCTACGTACGTGTCTTTCAGCTCTGATAAGAATCCGGTGGACAGCAACAGTGAGGAAAAAAGAATTTGAAAGTTGGTATGGTTTCTCGTGTAGATGGCCGATGCTCCCTTGTCCAGGGGTGGTACTGTGCACGTCGCAGTCGTCCGACAAGATCGTCACATCTGCATAAATCTCGAGTGCAAACAAGGAAGAATGTCCAATGAGTTGAAGCGGGAGATGCTTGCGAAAATACTTGTGTAATTTGAATATCTTATTCGCCCTGCTTTTAGACGGTACCTGTGATCACGTTGCTCAAGTGGAGCCCTCATTGATGAGATGCCTGCGATGGGATCGGAAGCGAAGATAAGAGATAAGAGGATAGCATAAAATGTGCTGCCATCTTTGAACGTACCTGAACGTCTCGTTGTGGATATATTCAAGTTTATCGGGGCTTTGGAAGAATGGCTAGAGTCGTGATGCGTATTCAGCTTTGCTGACTCGCGCCTTGCGTGGTTGGATAGGCAGCAGGTACGACAAAAGAGACAGGATAAGAGGCTGGTGAAATTGAAGGGGTGCAGGGGGGTGGGGTGTTCTCGATGAGCGTTTTGATGTTTGGAATCCAAAGAGGACAAGTACGAACCGGGCCTCGAGGGGGATGATGGCTTTATTAAGGCAAGTCTCTCCGCAAAGAAGAAATCTTCCACAAGATCTCTCACACTAGTGCGCTAGCGCCATTTGACGGAAGAACCTCGGGAGTGCCATTATCCCGCGACACGTGATCAAATGAAAGTGTAGATGCCGTTGCACAATGAGCAATGAGAATAAATATGTGCTATCCAAGTGACTAAGTTTGAAGACCGAGACAATTCCGGCAATCTATGAATTTACAACAGATAAAATTTATTCATTATTACCCGGCTAGTATGCTGTGCTTTTATGGCAATACACGTGGCTACATCAAAACACCAAGGTATATACCTGTTATGCGCTGCGCCACCATCCCGTCTCACACTGTGCCCCCCACCGTGTTCCGGCACAGCTCGGAAACTGGAACGTCCATAACTGGACCTATTCATATGTCACGCCAAAATAGTATCTCGCTTCCCTCTCAATGAGTCATAAATTATGAATACATGGCTTCCATGTCGGACTAGTCGCTGGTTGAAAAAGCTGACGGCAGGATCGTCCTCATCTCATTGCAGATTAGAAATTCTGGAACTGGCTTACAGGTTTGTTTGTGGGATCGTGAAAAGCTCGAACATTAAATCACCTCTGGACTGTATCTAAGCAGAAAGAAACTTGAAGGACAATCATAGGGATGCATTCAACCGCCCTGGCTAGGGAGAACCCCGCGCGCCTCAGAACGATGTTTTAGGGCAATATCTGGAATTCTCAAACGTCTGGGATCCATTATGATGCTTGACATCGTCGCAAGACTCGGTCGATAGCAGCACGTACTAGCTGTTGCATCTTCGTCTTTACTACGTCCCGACTTGAATCTTATCAGTCCTGCTGTTTCTCCTCTCTCAGTTAAAAGTATTAAACTTTGCGTTGCCTTCTCTTACCACTCATTTACATTATCATTTTTGACGCCGGTCGTCCATCAAAAAATAGATTTAGAAAGCATTTGAACATTTTAGGAAGAACCGCCACTCAATATGCAAGACAAAGTTCTATTATCATACGTTGCCCTAGACATAGCTTTTGTCGTCACCGGAGCAATAATACTTATCTTCGCCTTGACAACAAAAGCACAATTATCGCAGCCGCCAAACTTAGACAATGTAGCTAGAGATTTGATTCTAGATACTTGTCCCGTCAATGGTAAAGTCGGCTCTTTTATATAGATTTTACAATACTGATAATAATTCAGCCGCAATTGCAAATGCAGTCTTCGTCTTCGCTACATTTCTTCTCACTGTGCCCGGTATAGTGATGCGGAAGAGCCGGGGATGGCTAAAAATAAGTGGTTACTTAGTGGTTTTATGCGCCCTGTTCACAATGATAATCGGCCTCACTCTTTGGTTCGACACGTTAAAGACGAGAAGAAACCTATCAGATATCTGGGACCAACAGGACGTTTCTGTCCAAAGCTTACTTCAAACAAAGGTTCTCTCATTAAACCGGATATTTATTGAAATTTATTCTAATTATTTTACAGTTTAACTGCTGTGGCTACGCAAACAGCACCTCTCCGCCATTTGTTGTCGACAACACTTGCCCAACGACAGTCATAGCATCAAGCAAACTGGGCTGTGTATCTCTCTTCTCTTCATTTGCTAATGGGTTCCTCGATGTTATCTTTACTGGGGCGTTTGGAATTGTAGGAGTTGACGTCCTATTTGTTCTGGCAACTGCTATTCTCCTCAAGGACCGTAAAGAACAAGAGAGGTATCGTCATATAGACGAGAAAAATACCATGAGAGGATTTTAAAATATCAATATCTGGAGTTTTATTTACGGGAAATTAATGGGTTTTTTTGGAGACCAGTTGCAGCTACTAGAGGAGCCTAGCACCCAGAGAGCTAAAGAACGGAATATACTCTTGGCAAACCGACATACGAAGGGATGATAGAAAAAAGAAGCCCTTTCATCCCTCATACATTTCCAGGGTTCGCTGCCTTCAGTAATGAAGCAGATGATGATTTTGCCAAATATGGATCTATGATGGGCTAAAACTGTTATCTTCCATAAGAGCATGTCTTTTATATAAAAAATATCACACTTTTCAATCTAATACTACAGGACATTAAATGCTCTGACAATTATGGCTGAGATATTCAGACAACTATTAAATCCTAATATGACTTTCCCAGCCTTAAGCTGAGTATCCACTATTACAATGATAATGATAATGTAGTTTGGTATTACAATCTTCTTACCTATTTTGGAACGTAGCACGGCCCTTGGTTTTGAGGCATATTTTTTTGTCGCCTCTTGGCACAAAGCTGCGTTATCAGCATTCTCAATAAATAAAGTGATCAACGTCTTAATCCAACAACTAACCAAATACTTGTCTTTAAGATTACTCATGCTCCTGAATCTGTCCGCTTTTATAACTATGATGAATATGTGGTTGCACGATATTGCCTGTCGCGGGCGAATTCCAGCTTAATGCAGACTCAAATCCGGTAGACAATCGAGCGTGACTTCATCATATGGTAAGTAAACGATGCAAAAAAAGGTCTCTAACTCTTAAAAGATGCGAAATATCCATCTCATATCTTCAAAAGCAAAAGTGTGGTGGCTTAATAGACTCTTCCTAATGAAAAAATCCATATTATCTACCTTTTTACGGTGTGGCAATTGTATCAGGATATCTACATACACGTTACAAAGAGTTAAACAGATTTCTCCAAATCAATTGATGCTGTGAGTCTTGACTGCTTAAAAGTTCGGACTTTCCGCTTAATTACCATCCACATGCGAAACTGGACCGCGCATTGAAGTTGACTTAAATATGTTGTAGAGCTATTCGACATTAATCCTGGTCACCACATGAAATATTTTTAAAGTATAGCCGCCAGATTAAACACCGTCATTCAACTTTAATCTAGCATGTTGAAAATATGGAGTACAGAATTAAGTCAGGTGATTTTTAAAGGAAGTTAATTATGAAGGGGGGGTTTTTTTTTAATTTACTTTGGTCCTCAGCTAAAGCTCTTTATCCACATTGGGTCAAGGACCGGCGGATCCGGCAGGGTTCCCTGTAACTATTCCTACGGTCTAGCTCGTTCCAACCTCGTGAATCGCTACCAAAAGTGCAGTTAATTAAACAAAAACGAAAAATCAAGATAATCAAAACAACTCCGAAAAGAACAGAAGATTCCTCAATATTGGAGCCAGCTAATGCGCTCCTCACACATTCCGTCGTCCGTCACACCTTCCAAATAACAAATTTACTCATTCTCCGCTGAGAGCAAGAGATAAGTTAGCAGGTACCTTTTATCCAGCCGGTATCCTGCTATTGGTTAGTAGATGCCCCAATGGGGGCATCGTCGAAGTTGCTGTGTCCTCAAACTTCTTCTTCAGCTTCCAGAGCTCCGAAACCTGTAGTCTCGGCCATCGAGACGTCCTTCGCAGCGGCGATGATCGCCTCTTCAGCCTTTTTTGCTGCTGCTCGTGCTCGTGCCACCTTTGAGAACTCCCCTTGTTCTATGTGGCGGATCCACGCGAGCTGCTCTTTGGTCACCGGTCCGGACTTTCTGGGTCTGACCTGACAGGCCCGAGAATCCGATCGGTGGGGTCCCCCACAGTTGCGACACATGGTGAGGGCCTTGCACTCGGCTTCCGAGTGCATGTTAGATCCACAGTTCCAGCAGGCTGGAGCGCGGGAGCAACCACGGGTGGCGTGGAAGCCCAAACAGCGTTTGCACTGATCAATTTGTGGACGAGGCTTGTGAATGGTAGCCATACCAGCCTCGTCGAGAATGCGGAAGCCCGGACGAGGGGCGTTGTCCCGGGTGAAAAGGGCTTTCCAATTTCTGTATGGCGCTCCAGGACGGCATGTCCCGTGCGGTAGCACCTGGTGTGGAAGCTTATGTGTTTTTCGGTAGATCTCCAATGAGATCCACTCAGCATCGACCGTATGAATACGGTTGATTGTTTTTACGGTCGCCGGAACATTCGCGATCCGGAAGGCGACAAGGTTGGAGGCTTCCTCGAGCTTGGTGTCCAAGTCCGAAAACTTTGGTGCGGCATCTAGAAGCTCTTCCCTTTTCTTTTCATTCCCTGTCAGAATCGCAAAGCCGGTTCTAACACGGTGTATAGAGCAGGCGTCACTCAAGAAGCAATCTAGCTCACTCTGTAGTTGTTGCCGTAGGCCAGCAGGCGAAAGCTGGCGCCACGGGTGCTCTTTTTCTAGGCGAAGGAACAGTCGTTTGTCGACTTTCGTCTTGGGAGCTTCTTTCTTTGGGGCTTTGGCCGCTGGTCGCGGCACAGCCTTTACAGATGGGACTGCTTTTTGTTACAGTCCATTTCTGGCCACCGTGGCCTAGGTGCTTTTGACAGGCAGAACTGGGACGGCGGGAGTTGTATTACTCCTGGCTTCGGGAGCCCTTGGGGTTGGGTTCGCCGGGCGAGGAGGGAGGACTGGGTGGCGTAGTGGCCGGGCCCGTGGCCATGAATTGCGCTATGGCGGCGCGTAAGTAGACTCTCATGGAGTCTACGAATTGTCTATTTGACCCGTTGGTCAAAGGGAGGAGAGTGGCTTCTACGCCAGAGATGGTGGTGGAGCAGAGGGCCAGGTTTGCCGCTGTTTCGGCGGCGCGTCGTTGTTCGGCTTCGACAATTGGTCGAAGCTCGAGAGGACACTCTGCTCTCGTGGCAGCTGTTGGCTGCGACGTTGATGTTGGTGCTGCTTTGGGTGCAGCGTTTTCCGACGGTTTTGATGTGGTCGGAGGAGATTTTGACGATTCTCCAATCCTGTGGGGGACGGAGGATGGTTGAGGAATTTCCTCAACAATTTCGACTGACCCGATCATGTCAGTATCGGGCTCAGTGACGACGGGGAGGGCTTTTTCATTCACTTTCGTAGAGACCTTGCTCATCTCCGCGCATTTCGGAGACTGGGCAAGGCCAGGTAATTGTTCGTGAGCCCTCGTGTGGACTCTCGTGTTGTCCAACTTGGCGTTGGGACACTTTTTGCGAACTGGAGGCATGGTGAGAATGCCTGAGCTCGATCACAATTCAGAGATGGATGCGACGAGGTCGAGAAGGGAGGAAAGAGGGAAAAAATGAATTTCGAATTTTCGAATGTCTCGAATTGATGAAGGGGGGTTTTTTTTTGATTATATGGTCCTAAGCTAAGCTCTATATCTCCTAGGAGTCAAGAACTGGCGTACACGGCCGAGATAATGCTTCCCACATGCCCAACTTGGTCTCACCGCGTGAACCACTACACAACAAGTAGCTAGTTAATAATAAAAATAAAAACACCCATAAATTCCCTTTAACAAAAAATTTCTGATGTAATACTCTAATTTGAGGCGGGAAAGCGACACTTCTCGCCTCGTTTTCCTTCCTGCCATGCTTCGTGCTATGACCTAATTAATGTCCTCCCCGCTGAGAGCTGGAGGCGGACTCGCAGGTTGGCCTCCGAAGCAGCCGGTTTCCTGCACAAAATATGTAAAATTCTCAAGGCACCTAGGCCCGAGAAGCTTTTGGACAAAGTCGTGATGTGACGTTGTCCCTCGAAGTCGACGCGTTTGGCGTGCGTGCAGTCGACAGTGAATAAAGTGGAGAGGCGATGTTTCCTCCTCACACGCACACTCCATTGAAGCGGCGAAGTTATTGAAACGACGATGGCATGCAGCGAAGTTTCCGTGTCCCGTACGAGCTGAAATCAGTTTACGAAGTAGTCGCCGAGAAAGTGCCAGCTTGCGTGGCTTGCTTCGTCGCATGAGAAGGCCCAGATTACGATATCTAGGTGGACATACTTCTTCCCACCAGTCGTCAAGAAGTGTTTGCCTGTTCCGGTCCATGAGCCGACGAACGTACGCCAACGTGACGGAGCCAGGCTGGCTCTCTTTACTTGGCAGTTGTCGGAGGCCGGAGCGTGCAGCTCTATCGGCCTCTTCGTTTCCCTGTATCCCCGATTGGGCTGGTATCCACTGAACCGAGACTAGAGCCTTTTCTGATAACGCTCTAAATCGTCGCACGTCGTCGAGACTTGTTGTGGCAGTTACCGTCAGCAGTGCCTTCACTACAGACTGACTATCCGACAACACGTTGATCCGCCGCCTGCTGTCAATTCCACTGTTATCCCTCTCCAACAATCCCAGCGCAGCTTCCAGGGCCTTTGTTGCCCCTACAATTTCCGCATCAAGCACTTCACCACCATGCTTGATGCCGTATCCCTTCAATAAAGTCTTTCCATCCCTCTTCAAGACGAAACCCCATGCTGAGCGACCATGGCCCTCCGACGATCCATCCGGGTAGGCACAAATATCCGATGCTAGTACATCTCCAAGGAACCGAGTAACCCTTTCCTCCTCCTCTATCCTTGGGCCGAAGCTCGAATAATAGCACGGCGGTGGCAGAGGCTCGGCGTCTTCCGCGTCCGGGAGTTGTCGGTAGGCCCGCTGTACTCATGACATCTAGATCTCCGGATTTTTGGGTACCCGAGCAGACTTCTTGTACTTCCGTGTTCCATCGTTTGGACACACGACGGCACGAGTCCTGAGCGGGTGGCAGTTGTCCAGTGAGTGCAGCCGAGCCGAAAACCGTAAGCGGTTCCCTTCCAGAATGATCTTTCCAGTTGGGATACCTCCTTCGCGATGGAGAACAAGATTAGATGTCGTTCTCATTACCGGAAGGGCAGCGCGCAGTCCTGTCAAGATTGCCTTGTCAATCATCTCGCAGAAGATGCTGATTCGAGGTGTGATGATCCCCCTAATGGTCGGACATTTGAGGCCGGGCCACCAAACATCTGAT